ACGAGCAAGTAGTCAAGACGCTGCTCAACGCGGGCGCCGATGTCAACGCGCAGGGTGGACGCTACGGCAACGCACTGCAGGCAGCTTCATGGGGAGGCCACGAGCAGGTAGTCAAGACGCTGCTCAATGCAGGTGCGCATCAACACCTGGAGGATGATCTTGCGTTAAGTCCTGAATAGCTTTGTTCATGTATTTTACCGAAGGCCTTAAGATGACGGTAGCAGTTAGGGACAGTATGCAATAAGCGTGTTGAGTTGACCTAGAAAGGAACATGGCGCGTAGGAGAACAGGACTTTAGACGTGTTTCTTAAGTTGAGTTAATGCTTCTTGAAAGGCAGCAGAGCTCGCCACATCTATTTTAAGGTGCTACAAGGTGGGCATAGCGCTGAATTCATTACAATAGAATACAGTAGGTAGCAAGCGCGCTAATGCAGACCCATGCATGCTAAGCGATGTTAGCTTGTCCCGCCAGCTCAGGCTCGTTCCCTAAGATCTCCTGCTTCGCACTACAGGGCTGCCGGCATGCTCGCTTCCACATCGGAGCAATCTAACGAGCCTAGGAGGTCGATCTTCCTACGTTGCGCTCTCTGCGCAACCCACCGAGCGCTTTAGTGGTCTCTAAGGTCACTAATAGACAGGGGGGTATTGCTAACAAGTTAGTTAACGACGGTAACAAAACGATTGATATTACAGCTAACGTAGAAGCAATTTGTGTCGGACGCTAACATGCTTAAAGAGCAACAGCTATATAATTATAGTAGACTAATAGCAGTTTTATAGGCCCGCAGATAGGAGACGCCGAAGCTCCGAATTGCCAACCTGTCTCGCGACATAGTGTGTCTCCTCACTCAGGGACGCACCTTACTGGCATGCGCGATTGTAGCAACTTCGATGCTGCTCTATCTATTGCATTGGTGTCGCCAGAAGCGCAAATCGTCTCGCGTTGATGCCAGAGACGACCGAGATAGCATTTCAGGACGGACAACAGAAGGGGAAAGCGTTTGGTAGTCCAGTACTAGATATACTTTGAGATGTTATAGCGCAGTGTATTTGATCCATCTTACACGCAGGATTCCACGACCGCCTCTGTTCCCCAAAAGATTTCTAGTTTCCGGTGATGTATCAAGCCTGATATGAGCACCGTGTATAGTGACCTGCAAGCTCTTGCTAGTGACACCGTCGTAGCGCTTTCTATTCCTCACCTAGTTGCTCGAGTTGTACCGCGCTCGACCAACCGCGCCATTTTGATGTCAAGCTAAGCATAGGGGCTGAAAACTCCAGTCAACGAATAATCACAGTATAGTGTGCGAAAGCAAGAAAACGATTCCGATCTTTACTGGCTTCTGAGCCGCTTGCCTGGCCGTTCTGCACTGCTCAAGGATAGCGAGACGCGACTCGATAAGCATCACGCCTGCACAAACTGAGGTCGTCCTAAACGTGCATCTAGCAAGAAAGCAGATGCGACAGCATTACATATCGAGTATATAACGCGGCTCTGTGCTGATGTCTACTGAGTGCATCTACAGGCTCGAGCCAAAATATCTCCTGGCTTCAACATGCGCTTTCTACACGTGTCCGTCCCGAGCGCGCTCTTTGCCAACGCGTTCGCGCAAACAACAATTGTATCGCTCCAGAACAATCGAGTCGAGCAGGCGGGTTGCGCACCAAAGGTAGGACAGCAAAGCACTAGGCGCCCGCGCCCTCCGTTGACAGCCATACACAGCTTCACTTCTGCTCCAACACAGCCTGGCGAGAATGCAGTGCACCAATCACTTCGCCAGATCGCTGTGTCGCTACTGACCGGCTAAATGACGTTGGCTCCATCGCCATCGAGCTAGGCTTGTGTTGCCGCTTCTACAGGTACGTTCAGTCTCGTAACAGATGAGTGCTCAAGCCCTGACTATCTAGTGATGATAACTGCAACTCGCCGCTCATGGATCAAGGAGGCGAAGAGACGTGGTACCCCGGGTTGGAGCAGGTGTCGGACGCCTTTAAAGCGGAGGTGGGCAGCTACATGTGCAACAACGGGACTCTCTCTTCAGACTGCCCCGGAGCTGGGGCAGCGAACGTGAGTATATCTGGAGGCGTAGCAACCCCGACCGCGTCTCAGTAAATGATCCAGAGGTTCGTAATCACAACATTCAAGCTGCAAGTATGACCAAAGTACACCATAGAGTCGTTAGCAAACAATACACTAGCAGTGCAAGCCTGTACTCTCCACCTGCCAGTCGTGAGCGAGTCTTGCATGTTGCTCGAGCTGTCGTTCATACGGCGTCGCCCCTCTAACGCGAGATCAGGCAATGCCGCAACGTGAGCCTAGCGTCTAGACCGCATCGATGCCTGCTGAGTTGTATCTAACTATCGCTTCAACTTTCGTCGTTTGTCGTTTGTCGGTGCAGCGCTTCCGCTACACGTCGCGCACAAACATGCTTCATCTCTTGCAAAGCTGCTGCCGTAATCGACCGTGATCTCCATGCCATCCCATATATCTCGTCGTGCGCGAAGCATCAGTCGTGCTCGGCCGGAGATTATCTTCACCGTCATTTCCGCACAAGGGTCGCAGGCATGATTGACCAGTCGAGCCCAGTTGCTCTTCTCTTTGCAATGCAGTCTGCAGGTCGTGCCTACATCCGGCCTCTCGAGCTCGACAGACGTGTAGCTACCGGTGGACCAGTCCAGCGGCTTCACCTCACCGACCAGCTCCTGGATGTACTCGCCCTCGGTGAAAGCTAAGCCCCCACTTGAAGCCGCCAGAGCTTGGATGCCCCGTCCTTTCGAGCCGTAGTCGACGACGCGGTGGCGGTTCTGATGCAGCCCAGCAAGACAGGTGCACTCTTCGATGCCACAGGTCTCGCAGGCACTCGGCGGAGCCCACGTGGGATCCTGGGGCCACTCCCATGGCCAGGACGGTGGTCTAGGCCAGTCATGGTCAGGCGTGTACGAGTTGACCTTCGGGTAAGAAACGGGCTGCAGGAGCGCGAGCATCTCAGCTTCCGAGAGATGGTCGAAAGAGGCTACGTTGTCGTACTCGAACGTGAACTCTACATCCTTCGCGAACATACCCTGGATAAAAACACCGACCTGACATCGTGCCTCTAGGAGCGTCCGATTCTCCGTCGCCAGACGCTGAAAGGCGTCGATACTGCCGTTTGTCATGCTGTAGTAGTGATTGTCAGGGATGTCCGTCAAGGGGAGAAGGCAAAGGAGCCCACGTCCGAAGCCTTGGCAGATCTGGTAGATCTTCGTTGCGCGCTTTACACGTCCCTGTAACTGCTCACGGTCCTTCTTCGTCGCGTTGACGAAGCCCTGCGCTTTCAGCACTTGATCATACACGGAACTGTGGAGACGAATGGCACCCTGCCTCAGCGAGTCCATCTCGGAAGCGAACGCATACTGCGCTGATTTCATGTGCAGGACATCTAGCCAGGTGCGGTCTTGAGCAAGACGAATTCTCATGTCAGAGGCAGCAAGCCTCGCGATCTGGTCGCTCGCGACTGGAGCGAGCTCGATCCGAGCCAACTGAGATCTCCATGCGCGGATCAGTGTTATACAGTTGCGCAGAGCTCGTGGGCCAAGGACGGCTTCTAGCAGGCGTTCCTCAATCGGTACAAGCACCGAAGCTGGGACAGGTGTGCACGACGGTCTGGAGGTGTGAACATGCCTACTGTTCGCAGGACAGCGAGCCAGCATGGCGTGTCTTTTGTGTTTTTTCTGAGCAGTGTCAACTTCCTGCTGTTTCCGCTTGTTTGTTAGCGGAGGCGCCCCATCACCAGAATCCATAGCTGGCTCGGCGAAGTCAGGCACGAAGCTTTGACGAGTAAGCACGTTTCTGCCACACTTCCTCTCGCCGCTCTCACACCACACATAGTCGGTTGGATCGTCGGGAGCATCAGTAAACTCGTAGTTGATAGCTATCGCGAAGTTCATGCCGGTGTTTCGGACCTCATGGTAGACACGCCCTGGTAGAGTGACCAAGACGTCTCCCGGTCTTTGACATACCATCTCATAGTTGATACCATTCCTTTCGAGCCATCGAGGTCCTACGATGATGTTGTGGTGTCGCACAAACTGCGAACATGCTCTAGAAGTCGGGAACTGGTCTCTGATGCAGCGCTCGAGCTTCTCAGCACTGCTTCGGTGAACGATGATCCAGTGCTTTTCTGCGCCTGCGAGCAGCAGGTTCGCAGACCCAGTATTGCCGTCCTCGACGTGCAACGTTGCAGGTGTGTCGGGTTCACAGCTGACGTACCAGTACGGACGGTTAACGCCAGCGATCTCAGGCCGGCGATTACACTGCGGCCCAGCGTCTAGCAGAGTATTGATGCTGTGATCAGACAGTGGTTCGCAGATCAGATATCGAACGCGGCCGGGAGGTCTTGCTATCCACTCCTCAAAGTTTTCCTTGGGCTGCTGAGAAGCACACGCTTCACTGAAGCCTTCCATGTCGCAAAGGTTGAGCGAAGTGTCTGCAGCGACCTGCGCGTGCAGACAGTCGGCGTCTCCCCGAGCAAGTGCAAAGCCTTTGATATCGTCTCGGTCCGACGCCTGGGCGCCGCGGAGGAGTTGTGTGAGTTCTGAAGCATCCCAGCGATGCTGCACTTGCAGAATGAGGTATCCGCGCTCGTCGACGTTGTGGCGGCGTAAGGCCTGCCGCGCGTCCTGGATGGCGACAACCATGTTCTTCCTTAGCTGCGAAAGCAGGCATGGAAAGCGCAGATTGTAGTCCCCTGCTCTACGCTCTGACAGCCGCCGCTCTATTGGAATCTGGTCGACATGTCCCTGCTGCCGCTCTTGCGTCTCGGCTTCGCGTTCTTCAGGTTCGTGTCCCTCGACTTCGCGTGTCTCTAGCTCTCCGAGTTTTGTGAGTTGCGCCTGCGCTTCCTTGACAATCGCCTTGAACGTCGCCGCGAGATCCGATTTGCAGATCGACTGCTTCGAGGATGCGTTTCTCGGTCTCGGCCTACTGTGAGCGCGTTCGTGGTGAGCTTCTGCCGATTTGACCTCTTCTAGTTGCCGGACAAGCTGTTTGGCAGCCGCTAATAACGCGTCAATGGACTCGCTATCGGAAGGATGTCGCGCTGCCATTGCGAAACAGCAGACGCGGAACTCTCTGTCCTACACTGCAGCGCGCCCACGCGAACGCGTCGTCAGCGCACAGGTCGCAAGAGCTGGCGGTGCAATTGTGATCCGTGCGCAGGCTCGGCCTTTGCTTCTGGCGATCGCTCACGTGCGAAACCAAGCGATTAGCCTCACTCATCGTACTGTAACTGTAGCACTTCTACACAAGACATTGCACTGACACTGCTTGAAGTTACAGTAGTATACAATTGCATATTCTGGATATTTTGAGTTTCAAATTTCCTAGTTTGTTCATCCTTTTGTTATTCTCGACTTTTCAAGGTAAAGCCTGGCCTGACAGATATTTGTGACGGATACACCGTATGAGACTGGGCGGACACATCTGTGTTCGCATCAAAGGCCGTTCGCAGACCTTTTTCTCTTTATTCCCCTGAGCAATGTAAGCACGGCCGGAGTGCTTGATAGCACAGCCTGACGCAGATCAACCAACAGCCTGTGTTCATCTGCATCACTGAGGGCACGGGAACTAGACCCTGTCAATTTTCCATAAACCCAGTGCTGCGCAAGCTTCATGACTACGTTTTCTGATCTACCGCGCCAGGATTTGCGCTGTTGTAGCATTTTGTGTGTCTCCTGCACAGCATTTTCTTCCTGGTCTTGCGTCTGAAGGTCAGGAACATCGGCAGCCTCGGACACCGTAGCACGCTCGGCTTCAGCTTCGACTCCTATGGCATGGTAGCTACTGCTTTGACTGATGAACACAAGTGCTTCTGCGATAGCAGCATTGGCTTGACATAGCTCCCGAATATGTAACATCATCGACTGAGGAGGTGCTTCGCTGATGGTTTGTAGCGCGGCCCTGATGGCTGAGATATCTTCTGCCATACCGATCGAAAAAGAGTATGATGTGTCTACTGTGCGTACTGCGTCTGTTCAAGAAGGAACCATTGGGTAGACAAGAGCCATATAGCATTGGAACCTTAGACTAGGTACACAATTTCGATGCATCAATAAACCGACGCAGGTTCGGAACATAAGGCCTTGACTCGATGAATTTAAACTCGTCCAGTTCCCCGAAGTCACCTTAGATTTTCCGTATTCTACCGCAAAATACACTGAAGATGTGTCTTGTCATATCCATATGTCAAATCCGTAGACTTCACGACTTGGAAAAGTATTCCCAGCCTCTTTCGCGACGCGATCGTGCCCGAGCGCTTCGACAACAGGTCATTTGGCATATCAGTAGTTTAATCGAGAAGATTGCCACGAAGCCTGGATCATCTTCTGCACCGCCGCCATATTCCTACTGACGATTCTGTCAGCGAACAAATGACTGCCACAAAATTATGTTCTTCCTGCAGCATGAGTCCGTAAGTTGCTGTCTTGTTTGTTGTATCTGCCTTTGTAACCGACTCTCTCCTCATTTCTTAATATTGGTTGGTCGCAGATAGAACAATACTCTCCTCATCACCACAGTGCACGAAGCTTCGCGATAAATGGATTCATCCGGACTGAGTTTTAACGTGCGTTATAGTTATAGTTTTGGAGTAAAGCGTCTGGACCAAGCCTGAGTTTTGGATAGTAGAGATGTTTAGTACACTTTTTCCAGCACGATCCCGCCAAGTGAGGCTTTAGTCTGGATGGGTCTACTATCGACCACACGTTAGCTTGTTAGCTGCATTTCTTATGACGTGTACGTGGCTTCACAAAGTAGTTCACTGGGAAGGCTACAATCAGCCTCCTAGCATTCAGAGAGGCAAAGAATGGCACAAATCTCAGACTTGGTTAGATGAAATAAGGTACTATAATTATGTTCTTAAAGTAAGAAGAGCTCAAGATTCTGCTAGCATTTGACATGATTTTACCAAAGACCACTCACGCTAGCTACTGTGCTTGCCAGGTCTAAAGATCTGATTGACTTTCCTTGTGGCAGAAGCATACACAATATCTTGAGATCTCGGGCCAAGAGCGGGTTACTTGGCCAACTAGACAATCTCTCGATTGTGCGGGAGCGAAGGATATCCAGAACCGTCTCCTTGAGGGAAGTTTGCCCAGATGATGACAAATAGATTTCAGAGGAATGGATAGCTTGGAGGAGAAGCACTTTCTCAAACTCCCTAGACGGTGTTAGTGTAGGAAGTAGCATCCGAATGAGAGGGTTACTTGCGAGTGAAGTGTCTCCACAGGATTAGATAACATCACCAGGCTTTTGCTTGTGATTCGATATGCCTCGTATGGACTGTTGGCAACTTCGCCAATACGGTCAAAGGCGACGATATTCGAAAGTGCAGCTTGTACCCAACGGTTGACGACTCCAATAAACCCTTGCTGAGCTGACGACTTAGCCACCGTACCAGTCAAACATTCGCAGCTTCTCAAGATCTTCAGGTACGGCTGTAACAACCGAGTTATGCTCCTGTAATACTCTGCTCGCAACGAAGCCATGAGAGGGTCGGTTGACGGTAGCTCCTCATCTTCCCATCGTAAATGTGGGAGAAGCAGATGAGATTTCCAGTATCTGAACATTTCAATTTGACTGTTCGCAAAGTCCGTGATATACTCCAGGCCCTCGTCGTCAATGCTTTTAGGCGTAGCAAGATCTGTGGGGTAACGCTCCTGCGTCTTCTCAAGTACATTCCAAAGCTGTACCCTGATCATGTAAAACATCGCGGGGCTTTCTTCAGAACTCTCTCCCAGATGCATGATGCTTCCGGGGATGGAAAGGAGGTCTGCCGAGACAGTGCTGAGACAAACGTCGATACCACTAGGAGAAGTGTTAAATTACTGTAACAAGTAGACTAGAGTGTAGGAACTAACTGTGCCAGATCTCGGCATATCCAAGAACCCCTCTTCGCTTCTTGTGAGATTGAGTAGCTCGGATCTCGGATGGCTAAGGCATCATCCGAGACATCGGCACTACACTCTGTTAACCTATTATGCTGGAGAACCATGACAGATCTTACTAGTAGCCGAGATCCATGAATATGCCGTAAGCACAACTAATGTTCGTCCAACTCTGCCGAAGCATTCCAGAGTGGTTGAAATACAATGCAGCCAAAGTCATAGTTTGCGCGACAGCGACACTGTATTCACCACGCTCGCGTGCGAGGATGCCATGGGCGTAAGAGTAATATGCCATGCCTAGGAGGTTGCTGGGATCCCTTGAACCGTCGCTGATCGATGTAAAACTCCCAAGTGCGAGAAAGAGGAGGACATTGGCATTGTGTAGGTATGGCATGATCGAACGTCTACGTACCGTCGCAGCATCGCTGTACTCTTTGATGAATTCGTCGCACATTTTCCGAGGTGCGTCAAAGATCGGGCACAGGACATGCCCGTTTCTTATGTATGCCTCAGACAGCTCTTGCAGCCTTTTGAACGAGAACAGTTTTTCGTGTGTCTCTTGACTGATTTCAAGCGGCTTAGGAAGCAAAAGGCGAGGGGCAACAAGTTCTTGGAGGCGTATCGATGTCCCAGTCAGCGTCCTGGAGACAACATTGACTTCGTGAAACACGGCTTTCATGATTTCCTCCAGGCGCTCCAGGATTTTATCCTGCCTAGAAGTAGTTAACGACCAACAGCGAGCTAGTAAATGGTTGCATACTTTGTTGGTGGCGTGTCCCCATACTGGCATGTCTTGTTGCCATCTTCGCATGGCTTGCATGGTTCTGATCCATCGCATTTCCGCTTTCGATCTTGACATGGCTTGCAAGCGCGGTTAACTCGAGGCTTGTGCATTTGAGGTCTTCGCTTGTCGTGTAGGAGTGAAAGGGCTTTTCGCTTGTCGAGTTCAGATGGATTGTACAGCTCGCTTCCGAGAATACAAATGCTGTGATAGAGTCCAACAATGGAGAAACGAAAGGCTGCCTTGCGTAAGACGACGAAGAAGGGCCTAAATAGTGGGAAAGACTTAATTTAAAGAGCAAGTAATAGCTGAGTGCGGGGATGAAGGTCCGGATAATCACGATGACTAGTATTTTGAAGCAGATGAGAAGGGCCAGGGCGTACACGGATGTGGTCGCGAAAAGAGTGCTGCATCACTAGCCAAGCCCTCATCAAAGCCCGCAGCTGGCGTGCAGTCACACAACCAGGGGTAGCCCCTCTCACGCAGCATTTATGTGCACCAACCAGACGTTAAGTTTTGCCTGTCGGATGTATGTGCAGCTAAGTTTATGTTTGTCGCCCATACTAGCCAGATCATATAGTTACCACGAAGTACAGAAAACTCGTAGCCGTAATGCTCCCTCTCAGAAAGAAATTCCTCGTTGCATCGAAGCTCCAACCACCAGCTCTAACACCCTCATACACCACGGCAGAGATAGCCTCATATGTACTAAGTGCCAATTTTAATGTCGTCTGAAGATAGTATAGTCGACCCTATTATTTGGTGTTTGCAGGAGCCTACAGGAATCGCTGACATCAGGCATCGAATTCAGTAATTTTGGGGTAGCAGGTGGTTCACTTGTAATGGGAAACACTTTGCTGTGGTATTCAGGTATCCAAAAGAAACCGGGTTCAGATTTGGGATTAGGAGGTTCGCTGTTCATTTTCGAATAACGCTAGGGTGATAGAATAATGCAAGTTCGATTAAAGGTCTGGAAAACAAAGCCATGGAAAAGCTTCCTGGCATTGCAGCTAGGCTGATCTGGGAATTATCGTGGCGAGCGGTTAGACTGCAGCATACAGCCCCTTCTCCACAAGTAGCACACGCCTGCGTATGACACGGGGACTCAGAAGCGCCCAGGCCCCACAAGAATGGTACGATACGAGTGACAACGGTCCTATGAAGCCTCGGAGTGACGGCGCTAGATGTTTCGTCCCATACACGTGCGCCATCTTTTCCACGGCGAGTTCTAGAGCGCGCTGCTTGCACTAGACATACGAGCTAACATGCTTCAATGTAAGCAATGCCACCTTCTCATGTATTTGGCAAATCCTAGGCGATGATTGACGCCCTTGGTGCCGGATATCTGCGTCATAGCAAGTTTTGGGGTTTGATTAGTTACAGCGTGGAGAAATCACTCACTACTTTAGGATGCTGTGGGTGGAGGTCGTAAGGCCTAGTAACATTGTATCTGGAGGGACTTTACACACAATAGTATATGGACAATGCTGATGATACGGTACGCTCTACTTATCAAAATTACTTGGTAAAGCCGAAACACGATCTATATACTCACAACAGACTTAACGTACGCCTGTAAAATTGGAGGGCACTGTTCGAGCGGAAGCGCTTCGCCTACTTTGACCTGCAACCCCTCCTCCGGTACAAGGCCACGATAAACAGGATCCCGAACATCAATGCGCTTCTGCTCAAGCTGCGACAACTGATTGTAGACCGAATCTCCAACAATATCCCGTAGTTGCCTCGCAATACGCTCGCACTCAACAAGTGCGCCAAAATCCACTCTTTGCAGGAGGCGAACACTGTCCGACCGGGTCAGGACAATCACTTGACAGCCATAAACGCCCTCACAAGTTGAGTAAAAAGAGCCGACAGCAACAACTCCAGTAATGTGTTCAGGAAGAGAGGCACCTGTAATACGGTTTGCATGCTTCTGAGTGGTCTGGGCTAGCGGGAGCATGGCGTCGGAAGCAGCATAGTTGGGTGCAGACAGGTTTGCTGTAGACATCCGATACTTCGTGTCTCCCTTCAAGTCGCTTGACGGTCTGTAGGTGTTTACATCGATATTTGAGCGATAAGTGGTATCCGGAATGATAGCCTCTTTCGACGAGTGAAGAGACGCTCGTCGCAAGTCCGGTCCGCGATACCAAGCTGAGAAACTCCAATGACCAGGCTTTCTCTGGGCTGGGAAGAAGCATGATCGTAGCCACTTCACTAAGGTGATGTAGCCGGATTTTACGAAATCGGTTCCTGCATATAACGATGGATGCTCCGAGATATCCGCTGTGGTGGTGGCTTCTACCGGTCTGCTGCAACATCTCCTATCGAACTCTTTGATCCTCTTAACTGTATCTTGATATACTTTCGTGGGATTGAAATGTATATGTAAGAAGCTCTTCACGGTAAAGGTCTCGTCTTCATCTACTTGTTGTATTGTAGAGTGTGGCCCGATGGATCGCAAGACATTTACGCGAACATAGTGCGTGCCGCCCTCGCACCAAACGTTATAGAAGATTCTAATTTCTGGCTTCGGGGCTTCCATTTTTATCGTCTCGATGCAAATATGTCCAATAGTGTAGCCATGCTTCTTTTCTAGATGTATTTTATATGGCTCGTGGCAGCGGTGGCCATAGCGCTTTGGGCAATGACTGCACTGGAGATGTCCGCCCGCTACGACATGTCAGCATTCAGAATCACTAAAATCGTGAGCATGGACTGAAGAAAGGAGTAGCTTACAATCGGGATGAAGGACGAGTTTCTCTTCACGTGGTCGCTGGCCTGGAGGGTTAGGCTAAAAGGTCAGTTCCTTTCTTGTCCTTTGGAGTTTAGGCTGGAAAATAGTGGTGAGCAACATACCCAAGATGCAGCTACAGCATCCTGAGCCATATCTCCAGTAGATCAGGTTCGAAAGAAGGCAACCGGTGAAGGGCACAAGAGCGGTGAAGGGATGAACTGAAGGACGTCCTAGCCTCGCAGGAGGAGCGCATGATATATGAGTATCTCAGCCACCGGAACGTTGATCTATCCTTTCCTGCAATGCACAGTCGACTCGGAGACGGGAACAAGAAGCTGGCCCAGATAGGGCCGTTCGTAACAGACTAGGTAGAGACGGGAGCGAGTAGATGCAGGTCTAACCCACTAAGCGCGCTGTGCGATATGCCAATTTTAGGTCGATTAACACGGCATGGCTGGAAAAAGCTTAGTTTGTTGTCTCGTAAAGATGTTGGAGCTTCCCAGGCTATTCTAAAAGCAGCTTAGGTTTCAGTCCCAAATCTGGGACTCAAACCTAATCTTCTTTGAGACGTCTTCCACGTCCGCACCTGTGAACCTCAACGTCCACTTTGCAAGAAAAATGACGTTCCCCAGAAACCAGAGCAGTTTCGTGATAGCGGTAGATTCGTGTTCACCGTCTGACGTATTGAAAGACTACGTGAGTAAGCCCTTTGGAGATAAGAAACGGTTGGTGACTAGATCGATCAAGGCCCTGCTTGCATGTATGCATCGTTTCTTCCGGAAAGGAACGGTGCTTGAGTGCTGCAGGATTCTTCCACAGGAGTTTGAGCCCGACGAGCTTTTCAAATGTACGAAATTCCTCCGGGCCCCTGTCCAAGCCACGCCGCAGCCACACCAACTACAGAACGCCACAACATCACCGGAAGAATACTTTAGACTTCTAATTCCGTATCATGAGAAAAGATTCAAGAGATTGATAAAGGTTGCTCAATGTATCACCAACTTCCAACACGGAGAGTCTGTCGACTCACATAGAGTCTACAATGCAATCTCAATCCCGGAAACTCCAATTGCACGGGCAGAGGCAATATTTGAGCGAATAATGTCAAAACAGGATACTAGAACCTACCGGTACAACCTCCTTTACTTCAGCAATGCAGTCGATCAGTATAACAGCTTGCAACTGGAGGTCTCACAAGGTCGAAGCAACAAATCTGTTGCTTTTGACACAATCTCCAAGGGTGACAAGAAAAAAAGGGAGATTGCGCGTAGAACGTACGCTGATGCCTGTCGATATCTCGAGCTTCTAGAAACAGGAGGTCCCGGTTCTCTATTGTCGATGAACGCCACGAAATCCGAGTAAGCATGGAATTTTTGAACCTTCGCAACCTCTAACATACGGCAGCGTGGAAAATCTCAACAACACAGACATCCAATTACTGTGCAGCTATCGTAAGGAGATTCATGGTCATATCGAAGAGCAATCCAGGTCTTTGGATTTCACTGTGGTAAAAGAGCTTGTCGGCGGGCTCTTAGCTCAAGGTCTGGAGAAAGTTGATATCACCAAAGGAGTCACCCGTTTGACAAAGCTTATTTGCCGCTACTTGGACACGGACTCACTTAGTCGAGATGGTAAAATACGACCAGGTCCCATCAGTATGGACGGTATCGAAGATTGCAGGTGTAGCCTTTCTCAACCACCAAGTGAACCTGTACCCGCAACGGCTGTCGTAGCACCCTGCCATACCTTGTCTCCTAGTTTGCCAGAACTCATCCCCTTTTATCATGCTTCAAACAGCCAGCAGCCATATTCTACTGCCACAGAGACATGCACGAACACCACGAAACGGCGGAGAGTTTCCAAAGATGAAAGAATACAATCTCCGACAGTATGCCCAATCCCGACTCAACAAGACAATACAAGTACAATTCAGGCAGAAAATCGAAACTTGATAACGGACGTTTCTACCCATGCGGAGCAGCACCAAGATTCATCACTATGCCCTGAGAAGGTGGGAAGTATAGATCACGACGGTATTAGCCCAACCTCGCCCGTGGTGCCTCGCGGAAGATCCCTATCAAGCTCAAAAGAGATGGAGAGAAGGCAAAACACAGGTTCAAGTCATTTTGGAGTATACACAGGTGAGCCAGTGGTGGGCCAGCAGTTTCTAGCATCCCATTCTCGCCCATCACGGTCTACGTTTGACAATGCAGGCACCCAGCAATCTTCGCGAGTCAACAAGGATCCACTCCTTCCACCAAACTCGAACGCAGAAGCAGAATTCACATCATACGCAATAGATTTCGTACATACCCTAGACTACGATGCTAGACTTGCATTTGGCCTTCTCAGTAGTCCACAACAACGCTAAGTGGTCGGCCTCTCTGGTGGTGGTGCCTTCGGCTTGGGATGAAGGATCAGATTGATGGTAATCTTGGCGGACACTCCGATAGAGACCTCTTCGTCACCAGAGAGGACCTTCATGGTGTGCGGCCGCAATTTATCAAGTACATGGTAATCGCCGATCTTAATATCGATTTCGTCTTCCACATTGCTGTCCGTCCAGATTGACGATATAACTCCGACGTGATCTCGCGAGATTATAAGCCTGCCTTTGACCAGGCGTAGCATAACCGGCCATAATTCAGGCTGCAAGCCAACATCTGGTACTGCCTGTCGAATGATGCCCCACTATGATTTATCAGAGGATATCCGCAGAGTCTAGAGGATAGTCTACGCACTACACTGGAAAAATACTCTCGATTTAGAGCTGTGAACTCAGGGCTGGGCTTGAAAACGAATATCTCGCCTTGTTGTGCTGACACGTTGAGCTCGCCATCGTTTCTGACTTTCATCGAACCCTGAGCTTTGTCGTCCTGTTCTCGTATCTTGGCGGCCACCTCATGGACTCGACTATCGAAAGACGCAGTAGTACCCACAGTTCGGTTTAGGTACATTGCCAGCGATGAGGCGGTGGATGGTAAAGGCTGTGGATAGTGTCGTAAAAACTTTTCGGTGAGATGCGGGGCAATCTACTAAGCATATGTGTACAAAACGGCGATGATTTAAATAAAGCCACGACAAGTAATTGGTTTGAGGGTGATTGTATGATAGTTACGAGTATGTTCTGAGGATACCTAGAGTGTATTGACAAAGAAGCACCTGGAGTGCCTACACTAGCGTGCCTAAACTTTAGCGTGCGCGTATGCCTCGGCAACAACTGTGATCTCGTTTCCATATCCCTATCCTACAATCCTCTATAACAACACTTCCATGAAACTCATTTCAACCCTAGTTCCTTCTTCTCCGCGTCGCTCATTGTCCGCATAACAGACCCTGCGGCAGTCGACGGTTGGTCACGGGACCCACTCTGATCTTGATTATCATCACGCTGAACCTCTCCATTCACAGTACGATTGCCTTGGCCATTGACTGAGTTGGAGTTGTTGACCGCACTCGAAGTGGGTTTAGTCTCTTGACTAGGCATAATCGGTATGAGTTGAGTCTTTGTGGGGTAAGCGCATGCATTCAAGGTGAGCCATCGTCTTGAACTTACTGCTTGTCGGGCCAAGGGTAAGATCAAAACTAAAGCTATGAAAGCAGGGCAAATTAACGACAACCCAGTTCCGAGAGACATGTGAATAAGCGCTATAGCAGATGCTCTGAACATCATGAATAGATTTTGAAAGACTGTACACTTACAGCAAATATGGTGGGGGAAAGAAGCACAGAGTTCATTGATGAACCCGGTACTAATGCCGAAGGGAGATGGATTCAGCAGTGTCCTTGAAGGTATACAAAAAGATGTGATTCGAACCAAGGTTTCGCGGGAGAAATGAGTTGCTCAAAGGAACGTGTTAAGCAAGACGAGAAAAGTTGGCTCTGAGGTATAGAAGAAACCAGGATGGACGGCGACCCTTTATAACAATATCTATAAACCTGTTGGCAATCAATCTCCATTTCAACACCCGCAACTACGCCTCACTCTATGGTGCTACGCATCAGTCCTTCTGTAGAGATAGCTAGCGAATGCCATGCTCGCAGGGTACACCAGAAACGGTGCGAATAGGGCTTGCAGAACACCACGCTCTCGGCGTAAATCGAAGCGGCGGACATCCCAGGATGCATTAGATGCGTGCACTAGTACGTTCTCCAGGGTACACTGCCGCGAGTTAGTGATCCTTGCACAGCATAGTTAGAAATATAGATGCGCGACTCACAGATACAATAGGATATGGGTTTACATAGCGGAAGCATTGACTGTATTGTATTTGTACTTACGTTCTACGTTCATACTCGAGGCCGTCCGATCTTAATCCTTTACTGTTTCAAGTTGCAGCAATGATGGTATGAGTGGGACTGCAGGAATATGTAGACTCTATAGCAAATATCAGAGATATAGTGGAAGGAAAGGCAAAGGCAAAGGCAAAGGCAAAGGCAGAGGCAGAGGCAAAGGCAAAGCACATACACGCACGCACACATATAAGATGACGTCATTGTCTAGTACTACCTTAACCCCCATTTGTGATCCCTAGTCATGCATAAGTTGAACGTAGCCTGCCAGCTATGCGACATGATTTACTCTACGCGAAATCTGCCAGTGTGACTTAATGGTCGAGCTGTCTCACGTGATAGTACGAATTGCGGAAGGTGGGGGCAGTCGAATGTTGTTGCCCCTCTATCCCAACCGCTTGGGCATCAACGCACCCCGTACCCTCATAACACATCGTTGCCATTTCGCCCGCGCGAACAAGTTACAAAACAAACAGGTAAACAGACCTATCTCTTCAGATTCTGGAAATTGCGGCTGCTATTGATGTCTCCTAGCTAAGATGCAAAGTTCTCCGCCGTTTCATGCAGCCATCCGAGTGTGGTCTTGACGTAGTCTTCTGAGGTAAGTAGTTTTTTCCATCACGTCTAAGCGTACACTGATATAAACCTTTCACCAGAAGTTCCTGTTCCGCCGACGAGCGCTCGAAAAGACCAAACCTTCGTTACTTCCGTATCCTCCACTGTGTACGTTCCGCAACTGCGACAAGCGCTCTTCACTCCTGGGCCACAGGCCGCCTTTCGCCCATACGCGTCGCAGTTGTACAAAAACCATCTTCATACTTGTCTCATCGCAAATGTCCCAGGTAGAGCCGACCCTTTCCAGCCTCCTGATGCTCTCAGCTGACAAGGAACATGAGGACGAGCAAACCGCCAACGATGACTTTGAGTATATCAGCTATCGCATATTCGGAGCAGTCACATATGATAGGGTCATGTTTTGGAAGCCTGGCAATGGTAAAATAAGCGTTGGTAAGGACGAAATGACATCACAGAACACCAGCGAGAAAGGCGAAAATGTCATTTTATCTCAGGGGCAAAGTGTCGCTGTTGGGGAGATGTGGTTTAGATTGGTGCGGAAGGTTTAGCGACGGAATAAGCCTAGCCATGCCTTATAGCCTGTGTCGAAATCTAACATGACGTTCAGTTTGCTGTCGTGGGCACCGTCCTCTGGAAAAGAGATCCTTGCAGCGCCAGTAAGCTTCAACCCCAGTTCTTCCTCAACCTTTCTTGATCTGCTAGCCTTCATTCCTGCATAAAGGAAAGTCCCAAGTATGGCCTCCCAGTCTTCCATCGACCGTGCATTTTCGCTGACGGGCTTCGCATACAAGGTATCTATCTTAACCTCTAATCTGAAATCCACCCCAAGCTCATGCGCAAGGTACAGACGTACAGCATTTGTGCCCTTAAAGCCATCGAGCTCCTCGCTACGTCTTGTGTGACTAGCCTGAACACGTAAATAAAGATACCGCCCAAGATAACTCTCTATCTCATTTAGATCCGCTATCTCAGCGACATGGAGACGATCTGCTGTCTCATTAGTGCAGCTGGATTGCTGCAGCAATTGCACATGAACGAGTGTACTTGTAAGCCATGCTTTCCGATCGTTTAGTTTTGGGATACTCTGCGACGCGAGGACGATAGCATGTTCTACATTAGTTAGAGTCGTACCGTGGACAGGAAGTACGTCTTACCAAATTCGTGCACCGCTCTTGGTCTAGTGGAAACAACTTCGGTCGAGATTTCATGAGATAGTGTTGTCTGACTGCGCGCCTTGAAACAAGTGTTGGCGACTGCAATGAGCGCCGGAGGGTGCAAGACCGAAGCCCACCACGTCCGAAGCTGAGGCACCAGCGTTTTGCAGTCCAACGTTGCCCTCTTTGCTATCCTCACTGCCGTGACAAGCAGCAACAGTACTTCAGGGCCAACGTCGTGCAGAACGTTTCGCATAACATCCCGCGCGCGGCGTAAGACACTTCGACGTCCGCTAGATCTAGCGCTTAACGAAGAGAATTCTTCTTTGAGCGTATCATTCCATTCTTTGATACGTGTTGGTGAAGGCCGCACAAAATCGTCGCTTTCGAAAGTGGTTCGTTTTCGTTCAAGTTCGTTGATAGGCCATTTCGCCATGACTGAAGAACAGGTGGCAGAAGTAGAGCACAGAGCAAAGCGCGAAGTAAAGCGCGAAGTAAAACGCGAAGTAAAGCACAGAGCAGCGTGAAGAACAGAGCGCAGAGCAGAGCGAAGAGCAAAGCGCAGAGCAGAGGGCAAAGCGCAGAGCAGAGGGCAAAGCGCAGAGCAGAGAGCAAAGCGCGGCGTGAAGGATTTATTCTACCTGCGCCAATGATCTGGCGAAGCGGAGCGAAGAATGGTGGGTCCAGTGCTCAACGAGCAAATCAGCAGTGTCGTAATATCACCGGTCATGATACTAGCGGCAGCCTCTGCCATGCGTTCCCATTACACATTGGCGTTGTACGTCGGTCTTCATTTGTCAGGCACAGGTGGTGCTAGCGGAAGGCCTGCTTGTCAATATAGAATTGTCTGGGCGCCGATGCTATCTATTGTCCGAGTACCGAGTAGAGGGACGCCATTGGTTAAATGCATAGCCGGCTCGTAGGCTTCTTGTCCCCGGTGTGGGCTGCATAAGTGAGCTCGGTCCGTCCCTACCGACTAGAATGCCCACACTCAGAACATGCAGTTACATGCATGCATCTTTACAACTGCGCCGCGAAGCATACTGCCGTTATTCAGTGTGCCCATCAGTTCAGCAGCTGCAGGATGGTTTTCCAAGCACGACTTTAAAAGCTCAAGGTAGAACGGTAAGAAGCATTGCAAACTAGTTCTTTCTTTCTCTTCCCCTTCAAACACGTTATGGCACCTCCTTACGGAATCAAGCACACTGTTACTCCGAGTGGCGACGAAAACATCGCACACTTCCGAGATTCTCGCTCTACGTTTCATACAATTCGTGTGGTAGTTCACACCCTGGGCAGGCAGCCAAATGGGATGAGCGACAACCATGTCTCAGTATTCTTACTCTTGAATGAAGGAGCAATACGACTAAACATGACAACAGAGGAAGGGTTTATTTCGGGGGAGCTGGTATGGTCATGGGACGCATATCAGATCTCCAATTCCGCGATCATTCACTTTGATATTGCACTCAGATTCGCCGTGGAAGTAGGAACGCTTTATAACCAAGTACGCTCGTGGGGTCTGCAGAGATATACATTCTCTGGCGGAGGCTCTGGTTGTCGATATTGGATGTGAGGCTTTCCCTGAAAGACTAAGGCCACTGCTAACAACTCTTAGCTATTGTTTGATCTCAAAGATGGCAGAGATGCAGTGGATACACGCGGACTGGGTGGGACGGATGTGGAGCCACCTTTCGTATCAATATTCTCGGGAGGTAGCCCCCAAAGTTATTGAAATCAAGATGGGGACGTTCAACACACAGAAGGATTGGGAGGATGAATATGAGTAGACGTGAAACTAGAATTTCGAAGTTGTGCCGCGCTCTGCTCGGACTGAACATCGTGGGTGCCATCAATCTTGGAATATTCTGAGCTATCGTTGCAGCCATCTGGTGGGGACATCGAGTGCTTGTCATCATGCGGGGGTATTGAGGGTTCACGGTCTCCATGCTCAGAGCAAACCAATGCACTGACACGATCGCAGGGCAATATAGGTGGAAGACCCTTGGAATTGATCAATTCAAGAATTTATAGCTAACTCAACTTACAAAAGTGAGAACTGGTTATCTATCGTGTCACATTCCTTAGCAGAGGCGAGCTGTGCCGGAGTACACGTGATGCCCCGCAATAGGGTGCGTGCTTTGCGCTAAGCTCTTTTGATGTAGTCAGTCCATGCTGTCAGCCAGTCACTATATATGTCACAGAAGTGAGCCAACAGCTCCACAATCACTCTGTGACGACCACTTCGCTGTGCTTCCCATTGAGTTTCCCGTATTCTTCGGTTGCGCCTCAATATCGCTCCCACGCAACGATCTGTTGATGGCAAGATATCTCTTACTAAGGATTGTGCAATGTACGGTACAATGTGCCTCACCCTATAGCAACTAACTAAAGCTCAGATATTGTGCATTCATCGAGGCTCACAATGCGCTTTACCTACGAGAAAGCTACTGAAAGTCAACTTGCAAAACTTGCCGGTCATTGCGATCGTTCCAACCCCACCCGCGATGTTCTCTATGAACTAAGCGGTGGACGTTCGGTCATCAAAATCTCGGACGATACAGTCGTTAAATGTGGCTTTGGAGTCACGCAAGAAGAAGCAAGAAATCAGTTGCGAGCATACGACCTGATCGATCAGACGATTGTCCGCGTTCCACGGGTTCACCGGTTTTTCGAGAAGGACGGCACCGGATACATCATAATGGAATACGTTGATGGAAAACCTCTGAACCCTACGGAAGATCTCCGCGCCTGTGATGGTATTGCCAGAGCACTAGCTCATTTCTCGCAAATTCGGAGTGACAAACCCGGCCCACTTGGCGGAGGTCTCGCGTATGGACTGCTCTGGACGGAGGGGGATTGGATCTCGCCAACGACCAGTAGTGATATCGAGAACTACTTCAACACGCGACAGTTGCTACGTCACCAGAAGTTGGAAATCAAATCACAAAACTTCAGTCTGTGTCACCTTGACATTGCTCCTCGAAATATTCTGAAATTGAGAACCGGCTCATTGTGCCTTCTCGATTGGGCTTCGGCCGGGTTCTATCCAAGATTCTTCGAAATCTGCACGTTACGAATCAATATCTGGACACAAAAGGATTTCAACAGCCAAGTGCTGCGTCTGTTAGAAGCTTTAGATGAACATGGAGAGCGCCAGGCCCAGTTGCTCGAAAAGGCCTACTATTTGGGACAGAAGCATATTTAGTATGTCAAGCCAACTATAGGAATGAGAAAGACTGACTTTCCAACACTAGCAATCTGCCGTCCAGCTCGAAAAGAAAGAGGAAACAGGCAAACATTGAAGGCGTTTGAGAGTGTAACATGTACCAACTATGTGGTTGAGGAACCGTAAATCGTCGTTCTACATACACTTGTTCGTTTTTGCCTGGCAGAACAACAAAGTCACGTCCAAGAAGCACACTCTGAAGCCTCTATTGATGCACAAGTCAGTAACCTGGAGAAGACTCGGTTAGTGGACGCAATCATGAACTTTGCTGCGGTTATCAAGACCGAAGCAGTGTCCCCATGTTGACCTGCTGAAAGACCTAGCAACCTCATGATGAATAGTGGGCAAAATGCAGGAGGGATCATTACCGCCTTTGCTTAGTCCAATGACCGTCACGTAATGTTACACGTCAACATCGTGAATTTGTGCTGATCTCTACTGTTTCGCGATGGTTGCATTCATTATCGCGTCTGCTGTGCTCAGTCCGTCCATGTAGCTGTTGCGTCTATCGTTATGCCCCGCTGCCGCTAAACCTGTGCGACCGATCTACAGTAATCGCACGATACTGGAAGCTGTTGTCGTCTTTCCACCGTTTGATCCTGTATGTTTTCGGGCTTAGATGAAGAGGACGACTCCGTGGATGAAATTCACATAATGTTTGGCAATTAAACAAGGGGCGGACCTTTCTAGGTTTTAATCAAGATCGGGAATTATCGGTGCCGGCAGTGCTACGCACGTGCCTTGTCGTTATCTTATCTTGGCACTGGGAACGCCATAGCTTCTTGTTCTCGCATTGTCAACTTGTACACACGAGACAACATTGAACATACCTTCCCTCAATCGCGTTCTGCGCGCGCGCTCACAATTAGATGCACAAACGATAAGTCCATGTTTCTGAGATTTCTTCGATGGCTTCTTCGACGCGTTTGTTGAGCCTTCCACCGAACTGTGCCATATCCACATACACACACACACACGTATGATCAGCTCGGCTTTGTGCCTCAGCGACAGCGAAAAATGTGGAGAAACTGGATGATAAAAATTACATCTCATACGAACCGAGCACGTCGCAATCGAGACAGTAAACCCACCAATATTTGAGAGTGCAAATACTATCGACTTAGCCTTTCATCCTCCAGAGCTTCTAGATGTGTATGATCCTCCACCTTCTCTCTATCGTGCTTACGAGTCTCTTCCAGCGCATCATATCGACCGTCTTCTACGACAGCGGTACAAACTCCGCTGAGACATCGTATACGATACGGGCTACAATCAAGACAACCGTCCTCAGTCTGCACGACTGCGGAGATAACAGTCGAGATGAAGTGTATGGCTAACGAGGATATCGTCCATCAGTCGCTTGATGGCAACCTGCTAACATAATCACACTGCCTAGTGACGACTCCCGAGCTAGCTTGTCGCGAACCTGCTCGCCCTGCAGAACTATCGATCGTAAAGCCGATTATTTGCTCTTGCACCCGCATCGTAACAATGCAATTGAACGCGCACAACATTTGCGCCAACCTTTACATAGACGTGGTATCGACCCAACGACACGCGATAAATGAGGAATTGTGACGAATATCGCGACTCAGGTCGTAGGGAAGTTGAGTGACAATTACAGCAGGGGCCGCATCGCGTTTACGCAGAAATCATTTGCGGTTGTTCTGCACAGGCTCCACTTGCCTTTTGCGCAGCGACACCGCAGATGTTTTTCGCTTTCTCGGATTTGTGTCGTGAGGAACGCGTGGCAGACCGACAGTCACACAAACTACGAGCGTCGAAACCGCAACCACACATCAGCGCTGTGATCCGGGCACCGCCCACGCGACCACATTCATATGTTCTACAACACAAGTCAACTGCAAAGACTTTACTGTGCGCGAGCCCCAATATCATAAGATACACAACGCTAGTCTAGAATTGCTGTGGCCGGGACTAGGAGACGCAAAGAGACGTGCGCGCCTCTGTAGCCTAACGAGGAAGAAGTCGCTAACTCAGTGCTACTGTAAACTAAGAGAATGGCCAGGACAGTGATACTCTGAGAGTCGAAGTGGCGGATAGAGCAAGTCGGTCGCAATGCATGATCGTTGAGGTAATTCACGTGGCGCTAGAAACAGTATTTGCAGCTCTCTACTAATGTCTAATGTTCTCTTATGCTATCCTTTGTGAAGAGCAATCTCCAGTTGATAGTCACCTGTCTGTACCCAGCCGATCATGCTGTATCGCGGGCATTAGCCGCTTTACACTTGGTAAGAAATGGAGTGCCCCTAAGGAGCGCGCTCAGCTGAATAACTTAGTTGCGATCATTGAATATGAAACAACCTCGAAGGAAATAGACAGCCCCTGCCACCTTGGCATCCATTCTCGATAGCTGACACTGGCCCAGCTCTCATTCGATTCGCTATACCTACCATGCATGTTCACATCTTCACTGGCTTGCGGACGGTATGTGCCACGCTGCACTAGTTGGAACGGACCAACAACTCCATTAATGGTTGAAGGTTTTGTTTCAGAGCACGTGAGAATCTAGCTAGTCTGATCAATGTCACCTACATATATAAGATTGTCCTTTATTCCTCACATCATTATCTTCTTCCCCACCTTGCAATCAGTTCATTCACGAGAAGCCAAAGACTGATGGATTCTCAAGATACCATCCCGGACGACACGCTATATCAGGTATCTGGAGAGACTGCATGATCGGCGACTGTTGTTGACGATCGTAGGAGTATCGAGATAATACTGTTCATCGATCTTCCAGCCTAGAAGGTCCAACGGTTACAGACAAGTCTTTTTGTGGTGAAAAAGAAATCGAACAGCTCGATGAGTCTGCTTCCTGCAAGACTCAAGAGGCAGCGCCACGCAAAGCTAGTAAGATCTTTTTCCCTGCGCATCTACTAGTACTGAAGAATCTTGTAGCGCGCCAGTCTGAGCAGCATGATGCCGGAATAAAACGTCTTTGGGACGAACTGAATGATTTGAGAGAGCAGAAGAAAAAACTCTATATTCAGGAGGACAACGTACTGTCGCGTCTATACGAAGCACTTGGATATATGGCCAAAACCAGTCAATCACGTCCGTCCAAGAGTCACAAAATCCTGAGATGGGCGAACAACGTCTATGACCACGATCCTGATGAGGATATACGCCGCCCCAACAAAAGGGCTCGTAACAGTTCATAGGCTTAGAAGATGAGAATGTAATCATGTGATGTGAGATTGTGTGCGAATAATGCACATTTCCAGATGAAGACACTGATGATACTCGTGCACAACCGTCTCGGGAATGACGTTGGTTCTATGGATCCAGAAACGAGATACAATTTAGCTTAATTGCATGACTTCGGAAGACCTCCCGATCCTCAGGCACTGGAATCATGCAGTTTGCTAGACTGAGTTTAATTACTCACTGAATCTGTTCTCTATACTCTCAAATCTCGAGATGAAGTATCTCCTGCCTCGAACGTGTCTGGTGACAAGTTCAGGGAACTGTATGCCCAGCTATGTTCTGACCCAGCCCTACTTTCACATAAAATACCTCCTCTCAGATAGCCATCCACGTAAAAAGAGTTTTGTACATAACTTAGCGGTGGCAAGGAACATCTGTCCGACGAGTCGTAGTTAATATGCAACGCTCTTGATGGCTGCGTGTGGTCTGAGACGAAGCCTTGAGTGAGGACCGACGAGCAATGGTAGGGTTCTGAGGTGTTGTTCAAAGCGGGCGGCGTGCAGAATTCGGTATCTGCTAGAGCTGCTACTTTTGCTTGGTTCGGATTCTGAGCTATGAAAAAGGTCAGAGATATCCTGTTCTGAAAGGTAAAATCCACTGTGAAATCGTACCATGTTCTAATGCTTCTATGGCCGCTAATGCGTCTCGCAATTGTTCCTGTAGAGAAATATTCTCTTGCTCAAGCTTTGTGTTCTGAATCTGTCAATAGGAAAATCTACCGTTGGGGATTTGGTTTCTAACCTGGCGCTGAAGGACATCGATTTGATTTTTCACTCTCTGGCGCGACTTTCGCTGACTTTCTCGATTACTCTTCCTTTTCTGTGCAAGTTGGGTGGCAGTGAGCTTCATGATACTCTATAGGCCTGCTTCGGACGACAATCTTCCTCTCTGGACAATTGCTAGGTAGGATCGAGTCGATATGATAGAGAGCGGTGGAAGACCCAGATGAGAAGTGGCGGAGTGACCAGCGAGATAAAGGCACTTAGCGTCCAAAGACGCGCAAAAATAGAGGATCTTAGCAGAGAATGATGGGTAAGACCGACGCGGAAGAGCGGTCCGTCTAGGATCTTACCAACTTGATCGTGCTTATGCGTTATAATCATGTGCCACAGTATCTAGAGCATTGGAAAATGATCTCTGAAAGTGATTACCGCTTTGACGTTACCTCCGCGGGCACTACAGTCGCCCACGGCTAATGTTCTGTTGGAGACCGTAGGGAATGTTGCTGTTCAGGCAATGACCTCTGTCACTGCACCAGAATGTAAGAGGGCCGTAGCTGCGGTCTTAAAAACGATGTGAAAGCAGAATTGTGGGGCAGAGGAGTGTCGCCTTGGTTTGCGTCAAGGATCTCTGCTACATAACCAATACAGGATGTATCTGAGATGGCTCTTGAGCGTACTGTGACACGTTCTGGCTACAGCCTCCCATAACTTCACTGTATCGTTTTGAAGTGCTTATGTTTGGAGATATCCAGAGTTTCCTCAATCTAGACCAAGATCTCTATAGCACACTCTGCTAAGCTCTCTGTCGCTACGAGCTTCTGCTCTATGCATCTTCGGCTTAACATATGCGAAGAGAAAGCTACATAGTATCGCTCGAGATAACGGTCAAGACTTGGAGGGCAAGTGCCAGTGTTGGGTATACACCATGAAGTGGTTCACTATTGTCCTTATCCCTTACAGTGTCGGTACCTATGGACATCACGAGTTCTCCAAGGTATATCCTATTAGTACGCAAGTCCGGATGCTGCAGACGTATGTGGGACTCCTGGTAAACGTGGATGCAACCGTTCGGCATTACACGCATCGTGTCACTCGCTCCGCTCAGTTTCCACTATGGGGAACGGGTTTACGGTGGTGCATATCCGACAGGCCCTGTTTGGAGCGAAGAAAGGAGCAGTTGAAAAAGGCGGTACCCCTCATTTTTCCCACTGCACTGATTCACTCCAAGATGACACTTTCCATACTTGTCGCCCTCGCAGTCTGTTTCTCAGTCGGACTTATCCTGACCAGTGTGCTCACATATCTTGAGGTCAGAGGCCTTGGAACTAGCCCCTACAGCCACGAGTACGACTACCGATGGGAAAAGGTTGCGGAAATTATCGTTGATATCATTTCGATAAGCCTGGGAATCGGTGGCATCGTTGCAATCGCGACTGTATCCTATTCTGGGAAAGAGATATACTACTGGCTCGATGGATTTCTTATGTGTAACCTCCAAATTCTCAACAGCCACAACGTTAGACAATCTGCTTGCGTGGATTTCTGTTCTTCTGCTAACAGAATTCTAGCTCACTCTGTTGTTGCGAAACTTCCTTTCTCCTCGATGGGCTATATGGGCCGTGCATCTGGTGGCGTCAACAACTATACTCGACATTATTGCCGCAGTCAAGTAAGTTAACTAAAGTCCATCCCTACGTAGCGCAAATCCTGGTGTGCCGGAGCCAACCAATCAGCTCGCGAGAATCGTGAAGAAGTCCGACATTCTCGCAAGCTGATGAGTAAGTTGCGGCATACCAGGATTTGCGCCACACAGCAATGGACGTTACATCTATGGTTGAAGTCATCTAATTGTAAGCAGAGGCAAAGCGGTGCTATCTGCGTATGAGTCGGCATTGCTTGCTCGTTTCGCTGCCGCATCACTTGTGTCTCTCGTACTCTCGCTGAAGCAACTGAACGTCCATAACAACTCAGGAGCTGAGCCGCGAATCGAGAACTATGTGCGCCTCCTGCATACTCTTATCTTCTCGAATGCAGTCGCTTCGTTCATACAGTTGTTTGGCGCAATCATTGTCTCTAGTCTCTCACTTGCAGGCAGAGATACGTCCGCGGAGCTCCGGCAAGGCGTGTTCATTGTAAGTTTCCGCCTACGTTCATCACAGAAACTAATCTATACTAGGCCTGCACCGCTACACAGTTGCTATGTCATCTCTCCTTTTACATCAATCGGATCTGGCGTGGACTCATTGTGCCCACAAGTGATTAGACAAGGAGACTGGACTATCTTTTCTCCCATGGACTGATAAGAAACCGTACCTGCCAAATGGCAGAATGATAGATACGAAAGAGTAGGGCACATCAAGCACAGCGGAGCCCTTCTGCTTAGTGCACTAAGCTAGAGTGCTCTGACAGAAGTACCGCTAAGAATGAAACCACAACTGTGCGAAGGTTCTGTAGATAGATTATCCTAGGCTTGAAAGTGAAGGTATTGCGCATACCTGAGGTTAATCGACACCACTAAGTTGCATTCCGTCATATCACTAATATAATTAACGAAGATCTATTCGTGATGAGATTTTTTGCTGCCATGCTCTCGAGACTGTAAGCGTCGTCAAGAACCCTAATTAGTGTGTGACAAAAGTTGTAAATGTGTCACAAGATTAGAGCTTAAGGTGCGTCCCTAGGTAACGAGACGCCCTAGATGACGAGACACTTTTTTGTCCGGACATTCGCGATCGCGCCACAAGACCTGTACAAGCTCAAGCTCGACGTACCGTAGTCCTGCAGCTGTATTTCTTCCATTATAGTGGCCTCCGGTCAAGAAGAGCGTGATGTTAGACGTCCTGCCGGTCGTTCTGTTGATAGCGTTCATCAACCCCCTGCTATTACCCCCCTGTTCGTTTTCGATAGTGCATCTCTTTCAGGTATTCGGAGAAGCAGAAAGGAAGCGTAAATGTCAGAGGCTGAGATCGCAGGCTCTAAAGGTCAACTTATCGTAGAGGACATGCACTCCGGCAGTTTCTCCGAGCGGGAAGCATCCTTGCCAAGACACACCTTACAGAGTGAGAGGCTCTAGCCCTTCTTGGCACGCAGCAGGCTGCAGTAGCGTGCTCAGATGTGTCTGTGGCTGTGGCGCGCAGCAGCGGCCAGCTAATCAATGCGGTCGCTTAGGTTCTAGCCCCACCCTGGGTGCGCTGTCCTCCACACTCTGCGCCGACTGACTTACAGCTGCTGTAGCCAGTGCGTGCCGGCCGCTTCCTAGCGGCGGCAAGATAACATGAATCAAATCATATCTCGGAGACGCTGATCGCTCAAGAGCGACGGTCGCATCAACACCAAGTACGCGGTAGCAAGCGGTGGTATATTCGGCATGACGAAGCGGCAGACGCAGACGTAGACTGGAACAAAACAGAAGGTTGCGTCGGTCACACAATTCGCACCTCGGACCCCAATCTCTCCACACAACTAGTTCTCACCTTTCCAACTCCAACCCTTCTGTACTCGCCATCTTTTCCTGTGGGCACAACGACCAGAATGTAGTATCTTTGCGCGACGCGGTAGTTCTCTGTCCTTCCAACCACGACACAATGATTCTCTGAGCCTTCTGCACCGCTTTCAATATCATATCGTATCCACCCTGCCTCGTTGTTTGTTGAGATGTCGAGAACAATGCAGCGATCGCCCTTAGGTTCAATTGTGTAATGCCGGAACTTTCCCACATCAGCGATCAACGCAGCAGAGTCGCGCTCGACATCGAAAGCCAGAGCTTTAACCCAGCTCACGGTGCCGATTGCAACCTTCATAAATTCGATGCCTCCGCCGCATGCCATCCATGACCACGATGGCACTTCTTGGTTGTTGGTATACGCGATACGCTCTGTCTGCTTGTCCGACGTCTGCCACAGGAGATTCCTGTGAAGATGCTTTTCGAAGATGCCATATTTGCTGTTGCAGTGCAGCGCGCCAGCGATACGGGCCTCCAATCCAGTTGCTGCGACCCGTCTGTCTGTGGGCTCAGTAATTCCACGACTCGAGTAGTCCTGGAACAGAAAGTGGATAAACTCCGCAGTACGGCTTCTACCTGATTCGAGGAGACGGTTTGGAAAGCTTGGGTCTAGTAGAAAATAATTCTTTCGAGGTGAACTAATGACAACAAGGTCAAATCAGTCGTGTGTTAACTCAGACAGAGCAGACTTCTTACCTTTTCATCTTTGTAAGGTTTTCGCAGTGCACTCCCTCTCCACACTCCCAGTAGGTCTGATTGGCGCTGAAGTGGATAGTCCGTTTTGCCAAGACCCTCTCTTGCAGGACCCATGCTCGATTGTTGAGCTCAGCTTCTTGTACATCCTTCTCGAAGTCATCCATATGGGTGCAGATACAGACTTGATGACCTGTGGTGTCTTGTACACGCATGTACTCAGTTCTTGCATTTCGGGCGAGAAACCCTGCGTTCGAATCGACAGCCGACGTTGCAGCGATCGTACAGTAGGCTGAGGCGAAGACGTCCTCCATACGACCCGCTTCGCGCTTCCAATCTTCCGCGTTCCACTGGATGATGCACAGTGAGTCAATCCAGAGATACTCGATGCCCAGCTCCCGGGTCACTCGGACTGCATCCTGAAACGTCTTTGGTAGCTCAGAGAGACTGAAACTATTCAGTCGTGCAGCGATGTTGCCGTCAGTGGTGCAGTATCGAGGATTGTCCCTCGATGGGGGATCGTTGCCCCAGCGGTGAGACAACGCAGTATACTTCACACCTTCATTATCTTGGGGGACGTAGAGAAGTAGAACTTCTGGATCGATATGTCCAACGTAAAGCAGCCTGGTTGGTGATGTCCTTTGGAGTTTGACGTTTTCTCGGTTGCAAGCGTGGTTTGTGTCGCACCACTCGAGCCAGGTTCGAAGGAGCGCGAAGCGTGCAGCGCTTTCAGGCTCAGGTAGGACCGGGAAGCCGATTGGAATATCATCTCTGTCGAGGAGCGAGTGATCTGTACTCAAGACAGGTAGTAAACAAATCATGTTTTTAGCAAACCAGAAGGGCTAGGGACACTAACCCACGTCAGAACAAAGCCTCAGCAAACGCGGCCCTTCAGAGCCGAATCGTAGTGCCGCACCATCTCGAACAATGCTAAGGTCAGCGTTCTCGTTCTCGCGAAAGCGTTCAGCGGTCTGGACGAGTAGTTTGCAGAGCGCACAGCTCCTTGAGGCGACACGTATCTCAGAGAGGCGAGCTTCAGTACGCTGATGCTCAGTTACAGGATCTACCAAGACACTGCAACATACGCAGGGGTGAACGGTGTTAGTGTAATCGTGTAGTCTACGCTCAGGCAAGACCCCATGCAAACTTCTTGCGAAGTCGTTGTCGAAAGTGAATGACCAGTCCGGCTATCCCAAGGTTATTATAATTTGCGCCTGCTGTAAGCGTAGCACCAAACGAGACTTACCCCCTACAGCACCAGACACACCAAGGTTAGCAGCCGCCTC